CCCTATTAATTATAGGTTTTTAAGGTAATTAATTTGTGTTGCATTTAATAATCTGTATGAATTAAAAACACATATTAATTACTTTCCTTTTTTCAGTGCACTGGTAGTTGTATCAGTGCACTGGTAGTTTTTCGCCATGTTTTTCTCTCATGGTTTCCCTAATCTAATGCTTCTTTGGCTTAAATTTTAGACATAGATTTAATATAGCTATGATTCACATAATCCTTTTTCTTGTGTACAATTTTAATAGAATAACATATTATGGATGTAGTGAAAAAAACTGGACATATGTTGAAGTAAATCACATTTTATTAAAATTTAAACATCATTTGTGAATTTTGATACCTTTCACCTCAGTTTATTCGTTTGAAATTTTAATTAGTTATAAAAATTTTTTATGGGGTAGAATAATTAGATATTTTGTGTTGGGTTGGGTTTTTACTTAAAAATATCGCCAACCCGACTCAACCCAATTAGAAACAAACCGTAGGGTTTTGATTTTCTTCGGTGGGTTTGGGTTTAATATTTTCCAAACCATAGTGCATGGGTCGGGTGATTAAAATGGCTAAACCTACACCCCTACCGGTGGGAGACAAACAACAACTAGGGATGGCAACATAACCACTATCCACGGAGACCCTACTCGACCCACTCCGGTTAAAATGGGTAAAATATGTTTTGACGGATTACAGATCGAGTTTGTGTTTAAACTCGTTCAACTATTTTGTGGGTTGGGTTGGGTTCGAGTTTAGTCATATCAATTCCGTTCCACCTGTCTAATTTGTTCTTCCTAATTCTGTAGAATGAAGTTAATATTATAGAGTGAAGAATGAAAAAGTTTAAGTTTAGTTGACAAGGAGGAATAAGTTTTCAATTAATTGTGTTATTTATGGATGTTTAACTTTAATGTTGAACAATTTGTATGATAAGTGCTTGTATGTTCTAGATTGGTGTTTTTGTAAGAATAATTTGTATGGGAAAATATATGTTAGACTTTTATTTTCACATGAAGTTATTATGAATTTATAGAACACATGGGTATTTCATAAATCCGCAGATATACAACGAGTTGGGTTGGGTTTGAATTTTCCAAATCCATTAAATTTTATGCCAAATATTTTTGGTAAAAATATCCATGAATTCGGATTCGGGTTTGACAAAACTCAGCCCAATCCCACCCATTGCCATATGCAACATTAAAATTTAAAAGCTAAGATTTGTATACGAGTAAAACTTTAAGTGGGTGGACCTTAATGTAATGAACCCCAAAGTTCATTGAGTGTGGCTCCCTCCCATGACATCTCTTATAATTCATTTAATTAATGGTACTAATTAGTCTTTTATTTCTTTTTGAAACTCGGTACTCTTTCGTCATTAGGTTGTCAACCTGCGGGTTGACCCAGACCCGGTCAAACTAGTGGGTTAAGGGTTAATGGGTCAACCATTTTAGCCTGGTTTGGCCCGAAAATATGAAAAGAGTCATTATATTGTACTTATCCTCATAAATTATATCAAATCTTATCTAACATATGAGTTATAACATTAATAGTACACCAAAATAACATATCGTAGTTAGACCCAACATATAGTGAAAATTCACACACAGTTATATAACATAAATATTCAAATGTTCAACTTAGGATTTCAAAGATTGAGTTAGGCGAAAAGAAAAATCGGAAAATAGGCGCATTTCGCAAACCAAAGAAAAATAAGACACAATTTGACCTAAAAACCAAGTACCTTATAGCGGTCGGTCCGGTGGATGCGTGCGACCCGTTTTTCTCACCGGGTCAGGGTCAAATTGAGTCGACCCACGGGTCAACCCGCGGGTTGACACTCATTAGTCATTACTAGTTACTAGCAACTTTAGCACATTTCACTTTATATTTTTCTTTATTTTCTTTACAATGGTACTAATTAGTCTTTTATTTCTTTTTAAACTTGGTACGCATTCATCATCACTAGATTCTTTAGCACAATTTCACTTTATATTTTATTTTCTTCACACATGAACAGAAGCTCAAATCAGACAAAGGTCATTCTAACATAACTGTAACTCTTCTGCTTAACACCCTGAGCTGCAAGTGCTACTGACTGAACACTTCTTTTAGAATGACCTTTGTCTGATTTGAGCTTTTGTTCATGTTGCAGGATGTCATCTACAACAGTTTCTACAGAAGGTAACGGCTTCATCATCAACAACTGAGTTTGCACCACATCGAACTCAGACCTCAGTCCTCGAAGAAAATTGATTAGGTACATTCAGTTTCTTGTCTTTCCTTAAATGCTTCAACAGCTGCACAAGGTCTTCTTAAGTTCATTCCAAAGAGTCTGTGCTACTTCATGCTGCAATACACTACGACGTATGCCTTTATCAATTGAATTCATAATCCAACACAACACCATGGTGTTGGATGCATCCCACAAAATGAACTCTGGGTGAATTCGTTCCGGCATAGGCAAGCTACCATCAATAAACCCAATCTTATGCTTGGTTTTGAGAACCACTCGAACAGCCCTTTGCCACACCTAGTAATTGTGTTCATCTAGCAATTCTGAGACTATAGATTGTCCTAGATTTTCTCTCGGATTGATGTAGTAAGGACTTCCAAACACATAACCCATTTGGTTTTGAGATTACCAGTATAGATATGAGCATGTGCATCATTATGTGTCTGTTGGGTTTGTTAAGTTTGCTTGGTTTGCTGGGTTCTTTGGGCTTGTTGATTTTGAGCGTTGCGGTTGAAGCTGCCGAAGGGAATTTCACCATCTCCACTGCCTGAGCTACTAGGTGGTGTATTCATCTTGTTGTTTTGACGCGGAAAAGCGGATCACCACTCTGATAGCATAAGAGAAACCAAGTTGTTAGGGTTGCAGTTGGTTGTAAAAGGAAGAAGAAGAATGCGAGAAGTGAATTATTTGGAAACCCGCAAATTGCTGAGGTTTCTGATTCTCCCATTTATACTAGTGTTCAGAGAGTAAAGTAAACCAAAACAGTAAACCATGATTTGTTCGTTAAACTGTTATTTGAAATAGCATAAGTGATAAACGCCACGTGTCTTCATTTGGTTGGCCTCTTGGTCTCCACCTAACCATAAGTGCTGGTCTCCGAGTCGCCGTTCTAACCTTCGCTTAAGCTAGGTGGAGGGGAAGGCAGAAACTAAATGTTTCTATCTGTCTTTGCTCTGTTCTTCAACTGGTCTTCGTGAATCAGTTCTGCAGCTTCCTTCCTTCGATTTCCATCTCCATCTTACTGCTCTGTTAGGTCCTTCAACATTGACTAAATCAGTTCAATTCTGGTTGAGTGAATTTGGACGGAATAATCAAAAGAAGGCTAGATTGGGATTTGGAAATGTGATTATAGTAAATGAGCAAATTTGATGTAAAAAATAATGGGTAAATTGCAAGGTTTGTCACTGGGTTTACTAAAAACGTTTATATTTGGTCACTACAAATATTTAATTCCATTCGTGGTCACTATAATTAGTTCAATAATTCAAGTTTGGTCACTCTCCGTTAGTCGCCGTTAACTTTTGCTGATGTGGCAGTCAACCTTTATAGTTGACCGTTAAATGAGTGACGTGGCTATTAAAAAAGAAAATTAATTGAAAATATTACATCCCAAAATTGCTGCAACTCCCCCAAGCCATCGCATGCCAGAGACTGCTGGCGTTAGATGATTCCTTTTGTTGGTGTTGTGGTATATGATCCACGATTGAACTTCTCCCAACAACTCGAGTTATTGGGATTAACTGGTTGTTGACATGGTATCAGAGCCTTCTGTGACCAAAAGGTCTTGTGTTCGATTCCCGATGACCCCCATTTGTTAAGCACATGGTATTCTTGTCTTCAGACCTGTGCAAACTTCAAGCTCTTGCGAGTGACTTTCGTTTGAGGGGGCGTGTTAGTGTCGTGGTATATAATCCACAATTGAACCTCTCCCAACAACTCGAGTTATTGGGATCAACTGGTTCTTGACACCACAAAAAGGTTAATAAAAGACAAGCCAAAAACAGAGGAAGACGATAGTAGAGACAAATATTTTCTCTCGATTTCATTCTTTGCCGGTTGTCCGATCCATCAAATGAACAAGTTGAGCAACTTCTTCTCACCACCACCGCATCCCACGCCGCCTCCGTCGTGAGCACTGTACTGATCTCCACCACAACTCCACACCCCAGCAACATTACTCTCGAAGCAAGTGGTCACCGACTCCTCCGAATTCATCGTCGACGTACCAGGTCGCCTGAAGTCCAGTCTGTACAGTGGAATCGTCTTAGCAGAGAGGGTGGGGTCAACTGGAGATTCAGATCAGTGATCGGCAGCATCACTTGATTCGTCTGCGGAGTCGCCGCTTCCCCCACCTGCTTCTGCTTTGGCGAGACCTTGGATCTGGAACTCGAGAACTGGCAATGAGGATTCGAACTTGGTTCGTTGCCGCCGAAAAGCTTCCACATACTGCTATAGCCAACATCGACCTCCGACGCTTTGTCGGAGGGCTCAAATCCAGGAGATCCGGATTCCGAACACAAACTCCGAGATGGGCTTCAAAGTCCAATGATCAGAAGCCCCCGGGTATCTCCATTCACTACCGTCGGCAGACTTCTCCCACGAGTTCATCGCGCGGACTTCTCCCAATGTGAAAATGAATTTTATTTTTATTCTTTAATAGTTGGAAATTATATAGAAAATTTATAAAATTTTATTTTATTTTTGTAATATTTTTTAATTGACACGTCACACACTTAACGGCCAATTATGAAGGTTGACTGCCACATCAGCAAAAGTTGACGGAAACTAACGAAGAGTGACCAAATTTGAACTATTGAGCTAATCTTAGTGACCATGAATGGAATTAAATATTTGTAGTGACCAAACGTCAACATTTTTAATGAATTCCGTGATCAACGTTGCAATTTACCCAAAAAATAATAGAAGGACAACTTTGAGAAAATACAATAATAGAGCTGCAATTTATTCTAATAACCCATACTAAACTTTGCAATTTACCTATATTTCCAGCGACAAGCAAGCCGTTTCTTATTCTTCCACCGTTTTCGAATTTCCCAGGAAACCCTAGCTTTCATCTGACGGTCATCGATCCAATGTCTACCCTCTGCGACCCGACGTCCTCCTGCAACCCCGATAAGGAATCCGGCATCCGCATCGCCTGTAACTCTGAAAATGTCTCTGAATTTGCCTTGGGTGCTAACGGCGACAGCGGATCTGCCTGCAGCGAGGACCTCTTCCTTTCCGAAAACAAAGGCTACTACGACTCCGCTTGCAAGCGTTGCCGAGAACTTGAGGCGATTGAGCCGATTCCCATGCCTGGCGACGACAAGTACTTATTTCCCCGTGAGCATGAAGAGTTCGCCAAAGATGAAGGCCTAAAGTTACGTGTTATCCGCTATAGGAAGTCGATGGCGAAGACCAGCGTGAGTTATTAAGCTCTGATACTAAATTTCATCAGTATTTTTTGGCTTTTAAATTGTGCATCTGATGATCTAAACTAATTGTTTCTTTGATCAGGGTTTTGATGTTGACTGCCCTCCACAGCATGCTCAATTCGATGAAAATCTACCCCATGCGCATCTTAGCTATATAACTGGCTTCGACCATCGTGTGAGGAAGGCTGCTCTGTTCGTGATTGATAGATATAATGAAACTAAGGTATTGTAATGTTCCAGTTTTTACTTTTTAGTTAAAACAAAGGACACTTGTTAGCTGAAAATGTAATTGCAGTAATCCTGTGTTCCTTTTTCGCGATGACTTGGTTCTTGCTTATGCATTTGTTCCTTATATTTGGCAGGGTAAGAACTTGGCGCTTCTGGATATTTCCAAAGTATGTGCATATATTGGTGGTCGTGTAGTACTCTTTATAACCTTTGAAGGATACAATCCTGAGAAGCCTGATAATTATGTGGAGACTTACCAAGCTGTGGTTTCCTGCGTTCATCGAAGTAATGAAAAAGTGGTTAAGATATTCAGGAGGAAATCAGATGGAAAAGGTAACTTCTTTGTTTTGTTTGATGTTTGTTACCGTACCTGAGGATGTCTTCTGTTTTAAACAGGTTAGACTGTTAACTAGGATGTGCATTGTTGCTCACTGATTGTTCATCCATTGAAAACTCATGCAGTTGAACATAAGATAGTAAGGTGCAGTCGTGTGCCCATATGTTTCTGCTGATAAGGATTCCATTCACACCATTCTTTTCCCCTTTGGGTTTTCTCCTTGCTTGACTTGTTAACACGGTGATGCAATCCTGTACTTACTCCATGAAGTAAAGCCTAGGCTGCCACTTTGGCCTTTTGGTCAAGTTGATTGTGTTTGTTTCAGCTACATCCAGAACGTGAATGAACTGTAAATTGATTGAAAGTATTCTTAGTTTTATGTTTGATTTTCTTGGAACAAATAATGATGTTGTTTCCATTGCGTGTTTTAGTGTTTTTTGTGGATTGGCCTGGATATGGCTTCTTTTGCTTGCTCTGTCCTGATAATTGCTTACGCAATCTATTGGATTTGATGTTAATCATTTTTTCCCCTAATCAAAGTTGCCTCTGTGCAGATCTGCTCGATCCCGATAAATTCTATGTTGTCTACTTAGAATATTGGACATCCTTGTACTATGGAGAGAAGAAAGTAACTGGGGTCGAGTGATCTTGGGATTGTAGTCACTTCGCTCTGTCTGGAATCATAAGACCTAAATTAGCTGTTATGTTCAACTCTGGAGCAGAGACATCATACCTCTCTCTCTCTCTATCTATATCTATCTATCTGCTATGTTTTCCTATGTAGTATGAATCCTTACGTTTTAACTGAGAAGTGGAGGTCTTAAAGTTTATGGTGATGCTGCATCTTAAGTTGCTGTCACTAGGAATTTGAAGATCTTAGTTTTAAATGCTATAGTAGTTGAACTGGTTGTGTGGAACAATTGAGGCAGAGATGCTGCCCGTATATGGCTGTTCATGGAATGACGAAGTCGTACTCTCTATTTTTGTCTTAAACTGGGAACAGGAGGCAATGGTTGTGCTTGTGCAGTCTGCTATTGGTTTCCAGTTTTCAGAAACCGTGCCTGTGCGTTGTGTTGTGGAAGCACAGTTCAGTGTTTTTCATATGATTTGTCTTGACAAAGAACTAAAACCTAAAAGTAGGAGGACAATTTCGTGCTAATCTGCCTCCCCGGATCAGTTCGATTTGTTTGAGCACTTCTATTATGCTTTAAAAACTCGTTTGGAATCTTAGATTCTAAATGTTGTATGTTGTGTATACATATATTCTAAATTTTTACTATGTTTTAAAAAGTCGTTTGGAATATTAGATTCTAAATGTTGTATGTTGTGTATACATATATTCTGTAGAATACAATTATTTTTACTTGTTTTAATCATAGAATGCATCTATGGAGAAAGCATGGTGTATTCAGAATATATAGAAAATTATGTATACTTAATCTCACATTTTTGTGAGATTTAATATCTATAGGTCATTATGTATAATCCATGCATTCTTATAAGTTTTTTAAACAAAGTGGTTTTAAAACCCAAACATTCTTAGTATATACATAATCCTAATATACCAATACACTTATTCTTGCACTGGCCCCATTCTTGCACTGGCCCCTAAAGTATTGGTGCTTTAAAAGTTAACTTAAACTTGTACTTTAAGGTTAAATATACAAAGTTGGATCTTAAATTTGTACATTATGGTACAACTTAAAATTGTATATTTCTATTATGGTAAGATTTCAAATTGTATCATAACATAAAGGGTTATGGGTAAAATATGCCCCTATGTCGCTTTATCAAACATGCCTCTTTACTATTTTTTACATCAAACATGCCTCTGTACTGTGGTAAAATGATCAAACATGTCATTTTGTTAAAATTTTCATCCAAAAATCGTTAACCACGACCGAAGTTTGGTTTAGGCGATAGAAACTCAAGATCAAGCCTAGAATCGGCTAGGTTGATCCCTCAATTCACAAGACAAGATCTTATGAACTCAAACTTCTCGATTTGTTATTCAATTGAGCAAAAACAGAAAATTACAAAAGAACCCATAAGCGACTTAAATAGACCAATATAATCCTACAGCTAGGGATGATAATTGGTTCAGTTATAACCGAAATCATTTAGTCGGTTCTTAGTTAACCGTTAAGTACTTTGTGCTTACCCTTAACCGTACCATTTAAATTAGTCGGTTACTGTAACCGTATAGTCGGTTCTCGGTTGTTTTTTCGGTTAACAGGATAACCGTTAACTAAGTGATTCGACAAGTTTATACAAAAAAAAAACGATTGATAACCTAACTAACAAAAGACCTCCTTTTTCAAGTTCGAAATTTTCTATAATTTTTCAAACATACGCATGTGTTCTTTTCTAAAGTCTTTATCATTGAATAAAAAATAATTTAACATAGATGTATATCGAATACATAATCAACTCAATCCCACACAAGTACACAATAATAACTTTCTACTGTCAAACTTTATTAAAGAAGCATAGAACAATAAGAGACCCAACAACAATTACTCAACTCGTAAACCCCACCAAATTATATGGAAGCTTAATGTTACCGATTGTTCTCGAGTAACTGTGCGCAAGTCTTTCTATTGTGCTGCTTCTAAAACTCTTCCTTCAAATTATTCTCATTTGAGTCTAAGTCACTATTACAACTAGGATAGGCAAGGGGTCCTGTAAGCCTTCAAACACCCCATTATTTTAGGCCTATGTTTGCAGCTCATGGTGGTCTATTATTTTTTGCTCTAACTATGAGGATGGTCTTAATCAGTTAGTCGGTTAACCGTTTAACCGTCGGTTATTAATCGTTTAACCAACGGTTAGTTATTTGCTAAATTTGGCTACCGGGAACCGACCGTTTACTATTTAATCGGTTATCGATGTAACCATTAAATATCGGTTCCGGTTCGGTTATCGGTTACACCGTTAATAGGATAACCGTTTATCGGCCCCACCTACAACTCTTAGAGAAGTTCTAAACACATTACAACTCGAAAAGGAAGACAAAACCAGCAATGAAAAGGAAATCAACACGAAACAACAAAGGAATCCTAATCCGAGAAGGATTCGGATTTGTTGAATTCTGAAGGCAGGAAAATAGTCTTCATAGGAACTTGCCAGCCTTCGTTTGATGTCTAGGAATCAATTCAATCATCCAACTCCTTGTCAATGAAGCCTGTACTTCCCTGACATGTAAACCTCAAGCCTCGACTCTCACTCCTCTTCCTCGAATTGATCTTCAAAGTACCCTTCCCGAACTCGCTCCATGCCTTAGCCATATTCTAGCAGTTTTCTGGTTTTGACATAGACTTTTGGTGAGCTTGGAAATCAACCTTTCTGGCTCCTCCTGGATCTTCCAAGCACTTTAATGGCAAGATAAACACTTCATCTTCAAAATGAGACCATAAACTCCCATTTTCATTGAACCATTCGTGACGACCAAGCTTGCAAAGTAGGCTATCTAAAACTGGGAGAAGACTTGGGCAACATTTAGGGTTCCCTGCAATGATTGAGATTGCTTCTGTTTCAAGCCATTGAAACTTGTAGGGTGGTCCAATTGAGATCACATCGGGCCCCCTCTCTTGAAAAAGTGTTGCCCTCAACACTTTGGCCTTCCTCTGTTCGAATCTCTCACATAATTTATCACAAATTGGATCGGTAAAGCCATGCTAAAACTCAAATTTCTGGAGAATTAGGTCAGTGTGCTTCGTGGGGTGATTTGGGGCTTTGGAATTCTGGCATCTCCTACTCAATTCGCTGTCCCCATTGTCTTTGTCTTGCTTCAAATTGAAGTTCTGGACGAGTCTCGTATCTCGACTCGTCGTATTCATCGTCGAATCGTCGTCGGTTTTCTTCCCACCATCGTCGACATTCAAACCTCCCGTTACCAGAAATTCTAATTGCAATTTGGAAATTTTTAGTGCACGGATTACTCCTATTGCTTCCTGGTTTGTTGATAATTGATCCTGCATCAGCCAATTGCGTCGACTCATCCTCAATCGCTCCAACCCATAGACTCGATGTTTGGTCGAGTTTACCCGTTTTCAGAGAAACTCTACTCGAATGGATCTTGCAATAGAGGTACATTCGATCCGTTCTGATCATGGGAATAGCTTTTCGACACCTCTAGGAAGGTCGCTGCACCTTTGATTGAGTCTGACTCTTTCTTGAACTCTCCGACGGATTCACCCTCTATCCTACTCTACTATGGTGAAGGTTCGCAGGGTCCCTCTTATACCCAGTCAACATATAGCGCCAAGTCAAGAGAGCTTCAACATTGGAGTCCTCATCGTTGTTTCTACCTGAATTTCCTTTTGATCTTCGTCGACTAGCTTCAAGTTGCTGTCGATCTTCTTGGACTTCCTCTGGTGACATGGACTTCAAAAGGATCTTCTTCCCATTGTGACGAACCTTGTGGCAATTCGTACCACCACAGTGAAAAACGCCACGATCGAACTGACACGGCCTTCCGAGAAGCAAGTGGCCAACTTGCATCGGAGCGACGTCAAATTCAAGCTCGACCTTGTACGCTCCGATCTCAAAACTTACCCTAGCTTGCCTTATGACACGAACTACACCATATTCGTTGATCCAGTGTAGGCTATATGGTTATGGATGTCTAGTCGTGCTCAGCCCAAGCTTGTCCACAGCATCCTGACTAACGACGTTGGCACAGCTGCCTCCATCGACAATCACAGACAACACTTTTTCGGCAAACCAACAACGAGAATGAAACAAATTCTCCCTTTGGTTGGAGTCCGACTGAGTATCCAAAGTTAGAGCTCGTCGGCTAACAGTCAAGAGCTTTCCAGGTGCAGGTTTTGCTTCAATTTTCTCGTTGATGTCACTATCACTTGAGTTCTGCTCGTCTTCGGTGAGATATTGGCCGTCTCTGATGATCAATGCCTTTAAATTGGGGCATTGGTTTGCTTTATTCCCTCTACCATGGCACTTAAAGCATTGGATTCCCCCAGTTTTCTCTGCAGGGACCGAATTTGTGCTTCTGGGAAACAATTTGCCATGTTCAGGTCGCGATTGCTGGGAATTAGAGTCGGTACCCGACTTTGTTGCCGCCTTGTTCGTTGGAGTAAACTTCCCTGCCATTTTCTGCTGCTTTTCAACCTTAATTGCGAGATGAAGGGCTTCCTCTAGATCGACAAATGATCTAAGGTCGACTTCCTGTCGAATCTCGCGATTCAAGCCATGGATAAAACATGTCACTGTCGCTTTCCGGTCTTCCCTGACATCATAAGAATTCGAGTTCTCTGAAGTACTCCTCCACGCTTCTTGACCCTTGACGAATCCTTTGCAGAGACTCGTAAAGCTCAAGCTAGTAATAGGTAGGTACGAACATGTCTCGCATGATTCCGCGCAGCTCATTCAATGTAGCTACCGAATTTTGGTGATTTCGCCATCGGCGAAGTTGCAGCTGCTCCCACCACTATGCAGCGTACTACGAAAATTGATAAGTAGCCATCGCACTTTCTGGGCCTCACTGAACTGGCCACACTGGATGAAAAGTACGATCTTCCTTTCCCAATCGAGATATGTCGAGGGATTCATCGTCCCCTGAAATGGTGGCGCTCACAACTTGATGCCTGGAGGAATTGTTGGCTCCGCTTCCTGCTGTCGTTCGCGTCGATCACGGTGCGGGCATTCTCGATTGGGCTCAGCTAGAATGAGACGTCGTTCAAGCTCCACAATTTGATCCAGTAACTCTGGATTGCCCGCTGCGTTTTCTCCGCCGAGAACTTCCCTTGCTCGGGCTCGATTCTCCGGCAGAGCAATAACATCAAATCTTTGGTCAATTTCTTGCTTAAATTGCCCTAATTGATCTTGGATTTGAGTCTGAAAACTCTCCTCCATGTGATCTAGCAATTCGTCCATGTTAAACGTCTACCCCATCATGACTACTTGCTTTTTCTTCTTAGCTGGTTCTGGAAGCACAGACGCAGGGTCGCCAAAAACAGGGCTTTTCGACCTTGTCCAGTGCGTCGTTGCAGTGACGTTTTCTTCCGTCC